TTTTTGAAACTGATTACATCAAAAAAAGAAAAACTAACTAAATTTTAAAACATTTTTGATGAAGCAGCTTAAGTAATTTTAAGTGAGAATGAATTTAATTTTGTTATTTTTATTTACTTTATATACTGTGAAAACAAAATACCTGTGAGCAGAGATTTAAAACGTAAGATTTTTTATTAAAAATGGAGTCTGGACTCGATCTCCAACAGCGTTACATAAATTTAGTTTTTCAAACAATGTTGTCTCTGAACATAATCCAGGCAGAAGAAAAAACATTTGTGATATATAAATGTAATTTCTAGGAGGCAGGGTTGACACATGCAGGTGGATGTGTATCTGAAACTGTAGCACGGATGTCTTCTCAGGTTGTTTTCTTTTTTCAGGATAACATAACTTTGACATAGAAATAAAGGTAGTCAGTTGCTCATTGTGATGGATATATCAAGTCTTAGAAAGCTTTTAATAGCTTATTTAAATGAATTAATTAAACTCAAAACTTATGGTATCCTTTGAAAATGGTTTAAAATAATATTACGAAAAGTGTTTGTTGTTCACAGTTAGTAATGTTTCCCATAAATTATGTTTAACTTAATTTTGTCATCATAATTAAGAAACATTTTCGATGAACATGTCAGAAAAGTTGCTAAATGTAAGAATGTATGTGCAAAATCATTCAATTCATTTGTTTCCCCACACTAAGGATAAACCCTCGTGATTTTGTTTTCAAGGGGTTTTTTAAGACAGATTTACAGAAAATACAGTACATAAAACAAAACAACACAAATACACTCACACATATACAGACAGCAGCTCTCCCAGGCCTAAACACTCCCACACCCTATGCCCCCCTTCCAAAAGGAAAAGCCAAAATACATACACCATGCAGAGCTTTATACACATTAGGTATAATTAGAAGCAAGAACAGGTAGTTTGAGGGTAAGTAAAAATGGATGTCTTAAAGAAATTAAAGTAGGTAATAGATCTAATTTAACTGGGCAGGTTGTTCCAATCAGATGGAGCTTTAAATCTAAAGGCACCTCTCCCAGTTTCTTTCGAGGTTCTAGGGATGAAGAAAGAAGAAAACTCAGTATGCCTTACACTATATGATGCCCTATATGGAATTAAAAGTAATAAGGAAAATTAAGGAAAACACATTTAAATCAGCTCTTGCAAGACAACATCCACTCGTAGCAACTAAAGCATGATTAACATTTGTTATGATTACGTGCAGCTCATGGTTAATGTTAAGGAAACATTGTGACTTGAAGCTTGAGACAGGACATTTAACCGAAACCAGGATCTTTCCCTAACCTTTACCCTCGCCTACACCTAACCACATGCAGGACTCAGGACCCAGTCACTGGTGCCAAAGTCCTGCACTTTGCACGTCCACCATACAAAGCAAACTTAATTTCTTTGAGACAGGATTGAAAATGTCCTTTAATCACTTCGTAGTTTCCATTCAGAATTAGATGCAGTGAGGCAAAGAAATACACTACCAGGGCGGTTTTAGAGAAATATTGTTCAAGACATTTAGAATTTTTGAAGTGGTTTTAAAAATTTGATTGCCAGGTTAAATGATAAAACCAGACAAGTCTGGCATAATTTTCTGACATTAATTATCTAACAGAGGGTACGGGGTACCAGCTAACAGAATATAAAGGTATATCTGCGTTGTTCTTTTTTATTTTATGTTAAGATGAATACAGACTTTGTTCTCTCTGTCTAGGCATCATCAAGGTGGGAAGGTGGAACCCTCTGCCCATCCACTTCTTGACTGATGCACCAGAGGCCACAGTTGCTGACATGTTGTTGGAGGTCTACCACATGGTCACGCTACGCATCCAACTACAAAGGTCAGATTGAGTTTTAAAAGTGAGATGTCACAGGTTACAGTTGTCCAGACATATCTGGATGGAATTTGTTGGAATCATTAATTCATTAGAGTTCACAGGAAATAGTCTGGGGCATTTCAGAAATTAGAAATGTTTGCATCCTAAATCAGTGACTCTCTGCTCCCCAATGCTCTTCCGTTGAATATGAAAAACAACATCTGAAAGACTGCATGTCCATATTTTATGGACACAGTGAGGCTTTTAAACACTGTGTGCGGTTGCTCTGAATCAGGTCCGCTGGGCGGCTGATGTCATTGCAGCTGATTGCAGTTCAAGAATTTACCATATCTATCAAATTTGAAAGCAGCAATATTGAAACACTAAAGCTCCAGTTAAACAACCCGGTGGGGATTTATCTATTATCTGTCTCCGTCGGGGAGAGTCCGTGTGCCAGGAACTTCTCGTTCCCTCGAAGAAGTGAAGCAGGATCTTGATGGACAGATAAAAACAGATAAACTCCAGATGAGAGGATTATTATTGTTATTGTCTTGGCACATACCAGCCAGGTTTGTTTACGTGTTTATGTGTGTGTATCCATGGCAATGGCTGAGCTCTGGCACACTTTGTGCTCAGTGCCGACATGATTTATTTGAGGTTCAAATTAAATGAAAATAGGAAGATTGCGGGACGGTACTGTAGGTCTGTACAGTAAGTGGTGGTTTGAGGTTGAGGTTAATACAGGATGTTTGATAGACCAGTGGGGTTAGGGGTTAATTTGGGGTTAAAGGAACATTTGACATATTTGGGAATTATGTATATTCGCTTTCTTGCCGAGAGTTAGATTTGCACTAATGTCATGTCTGCACCGTAACTATGAAGTTACAGCTAGCAGCCGGTTAGCTTACCTTAGCATAAAGACTGGAAAGGGGTTACATCTGATACCTAACAGCTAGCCTGGCTCTGTTTGAAGGTTTGAACACAGCACCACTAAAGCTCAACAAGTGTCATTTGTTTAATACGTACAAAAAGCAACAAGTTGTGGTTTTAGGGTCAGGGTTATGTGTCTGACCAGGAAATGTTGCCAAGCAACCTGAGGACACTTCAGGAAGTCCCGGCGAAAAATCTGCCAAAAAATCACAATGATAAATCATAGGATTAGGTTATAGTTGTTGTTATTTGTTTGATTTCTTGGTATGTAACTATAGGCCTTTTTCACAGCAGCCATTTTGACAGGAAATAATAGGGTAAACACAGGTGTTACCAATGATACTAATTAAGGTCCTGGTTATGTTCAGCTCAAACAGAGTCAGGTTGCTGCTATTGGCTCACTAGAAAGGGTCTGCTACACTAAATGGAACAGAACCTTAATTTGTATCATTGGTAACACCTGTGTTTACTCTACTATTTCATGTCAAAATGGCTGCTGTAGAAAAGGTCTATTGTAAGGGATTATAACTATTAAATAAAGTATAGAACTAGGCCTAAAAACCTTTTTTCCCCCCATTTTTGTTATGATAATGTTGGACTTTGGACGAGAGTGGTATTGGTGATGAATATGGTGTAGTGGTTGTCCAAAACATCCGAGATAACGCTGTAAAACAATTCTCAAGTTTATTCTTAGTCCTTTTGTGTCTCAGCTTCTTACCTAAAGATGTAACTGAGACCCTGTGTGGATTGTCTTGTCATAGTTTTTCAAAGCTGGAGGACCTGCCCTGTGAACAGTGGAACCACGCGACTGTCAGAAACGCTCTCAAAGAACTTTTGAAGGAAATGAACCAAAGCACTCTGGCCAAAGAGTGTCCCCTCTCACAGGTAACATCTGGCTCTAGCTACACAATATCCCCAAGCTCACCTTCACATCAAAATCACAGCCCGTATCAGAAAACTACTTATCCCTTCAATAATCCTTTATATTTACTCTGTACGATGTTCCTTACATGTGATTTCAGTCTATTTCACTGACTAGAGCATCAGGTGCTCTTGCTAATGACTAAAATCAGTTTCAATTAGAATCTTAGAACTAATCCTACATGCATTGTATTGATTATTGTTACATTTAATCAAACTCAACCCAAAAAATTAAGAACTGTCTCCTCATTTGTGTCAAACTCCCCAGCTGCATGTTTAGCCATCTATCTTGGTCTCATAATGACTGGTGTATGAGATTTATGTCTATGTGTCTGTGTGTGCATACTGTGTTTAAATGGAGCCCTGGTGGGAGTGTTGATCGCGGCATCAATTGCAAGCATGTGTGTGTGAGGCTGGAGATTCCCTCTCTGCACTGTACTGGCTCGAGTTTCCATGGGTGGCTTCCAATCATGATTAATGTTTGTCTATTTCTATTGTGTGTGTGTGTGTGTTTATGCGAGCATGCCATGTGGTAGTTGCGTGAGTGTAAGCATTTCATATTATGTTGGTTATTAATTATCTTTCCACTGTCTTTCTCTCTCAGAGTATGATTTCCTCCATAGTGAATAGTTCCTACTATGCCAATGTCTCCACTGCCAAATGCCAGGAGTTTGGTCGTTGGTACAAGAAATATAAGAAAATCAAAGGTGAGCTGCACATTAGACAGTGGTCCAACTTCCATGAATGCTCTTACAGTAGACCAGTGGTTCCCAACCCTACAGGCTGGGACTCAAACAAAGGGCTCCAAAATTATGAAAATCATAAAAAGCTAAACTTTGCTTTTTCTTGGGGAATATTGTAGTTTTACCTCTAAATATGAGATCTGTGAAGAGAAAATCCCCTTTTAACTGATAGTTCTGCGTTAAAGGTTATATATACAAAATTCACTTGCCACACTAGTACGGAAAATTCACGAAAACCATATTTGCCAGTCTTTCCAACAGTCACCAATGCTGGTTTGGACAAAATAAACCCTTAACTGAAAAAGTTAGATGCGAAAATATTTGCAAAATGTCTACATTGACGGCAACGTAAGCTGATCCCTGCGGACAAATGCACCGTCAAAGTACGTCTACTTAAAGTTGTGGTTTCTGCCACTGACAGGCTCTGATTGTTACTCTCAGTGTCTGACAACATTATGGAAAGGAAGAGATAGACCTTTTCTTTAACCAGAAACAGCCGTAATATAGCTGTTGCTTGTCATCAGACTCCATAGAAAAAAAATGTAATTTTACCTCGCAGCATCATAACTTCAGTCAGGACAGCAACAAAATAAAAACAATCATCTTTGTTAGTCTTTCCACTGTTCCAACAATCACCAACACTAGTTTGGTCAAAATAAATCTTTAATTCACCTACATAATCTCCTATTCACTAAAGACACAAGGCAGAATTTACGCCACCACTCTATATCATAAAGTAAACCAAAGAATGTAAACACATTTAACTGTGCTGAATATAATTCAAGCATGGTATAGCTTAATGATATATGATACATCAATTCAGTGCTGCATTGGTACTTTCAACTGGTGATATCCGACACTGGACTATAAATTAATATTAACTTATGCTGTAGGCATCTATGACGGGACTTCCGTTAACTTCTTGCATCAACTATAAATCAAGCTTCAGATATGCAACCAGTGATGAAGGGTAGAAGTAAACATAAAGGAATTGTGAACTGACCAATGCAGTGACATGGTCCTTTGACCTTTCTCAAATATATCATCTGTAATGACTCTTCTCCACACAAACGTGTAAACGTGTACAAAACAAGCGCTCACTGCTCTCTGATTGGCTGCAGCACGTCAGTCATGGCTAGAAGCTTAGGCAGATAGGTGTAGAGTGTTGGACCATTTGTCCTAGCACCATTCAAACTCAACTAGACAAGCAGAGGTTTTTCCTTACAATGAATATTTCTTTTCTGAATGTGCAGTTCTAAATAAATCCATTTTGGTTATGAGCCTCAAAGTTAACTCTTTGCCTTGGAAACAGCCGTTTTGCTGATGTTTTATTCTTTGTTTTGTTGAGCAGTGGATTACCTGGAGAAGATGTGGTCAGGACGAGATGCTACTGACATCAAAAGTAAGGAATCTTACCTGTCTTTCTGACACTTTGCCAATGTAAAGGTGTTTTGTTTGACCACACTGACTGTCCCTTCTCCTCTCCAGTAGAGAGAGACAACATGGCAGACTTCTGTGTGCTGGGTCAGAGACCTCCTCCTCACTTGGCTGGCCTGGCCCATCTCAGTCACCTGGGAGCCGGCAGTCCCCTCCTCAAGGCGGGATCTGGAGATCTGCAGGCACCCTCCCAACCACCTCAGCAGCCTCCTCCTCCCCAACAACAGCCCTCGCCCCATGGCCCCCTCCACCACAGTCCTCCTCTCCGTACGGGCCAGGTGCCTCCCCCACCCCCACCCCCGCCTGGCACCCTGCAGCCCCTGCTGGGGCCAGGTGGGCTGCTCT